AACTTATTTATATGAGTTCAGTCAAGAACGTTGTGTTTCATTTAATCATAATAATCACACACAAACTTTAATCATAATATGCACACACAAGTTTTAATTTTTTGCCCGAACTAATGAAAAAACTACGATAAACCATCTATATTTCTAATGAGAAAAAAGAGACTATCATTTTCCCTGAAAATGTGTATTCCATTTAAAAATATTTATTCGATAGCACTGTTCTGAGATACACGATATAAAAAAAAATTTATTTCATGAATTATTTCATATTAGACTCTATAACTTCAATATAAAACTTTTTCTTCTAGAAGGTCATATGAAAAAGAGGGTGTCGATTTATATGTACTCTGTGATGATGTTTTTCTTCAACTGAATGACTGGAAGGATCGAACCGTGAGATATTAGTATATCACTAAGGGATGTCCTGAATACTCTTAAAGAGGATTCTAGTCATTGGGCATATGATCGGATATCTATAATACGTGAAACCATATATTTATAGGGGACGTATTCATTTAATTTATAATAATAGAACATGAATACTTTAATTTCGCATTGTGATGTATTTTTTATCATTATAAACAATAATAGTTTAACCGTGTTTCAATTCATATGTACATTAGAATCTACAAAGGTGAATTAGAAGGTTTGAACCGAGGTTTGAACTAATCATATAAAACAGTTTTTATGATACAAGCAGCTGTCAAAACGGCCGGTATTTTGGTGAATTTGCGGGAATTACGAGGCTATTGGGGGAATTATGGTGCATTACAGAGAATTATGCGGGAATTATCTGAAACAATGGAATGCACATTGGTAGGAATTAGGGGGACATATTTCCCTTTATTGTACAGGTTTCTGGGTGCGGATTACCTCTCGGTCGAAGCATGAACACAAATCTAATACAATGTCTATGCCTATGCATGTATACGACAGCAACTAAATTTGCATTCTATTGAAAATAATAGTGTCTCAGTGTTGATGGGCAGTAGGAAAACTACTTCTAACTTTGCCACCGCCACCGTAGCGCAGCATGGTCGTGTAGTCGCCCTACCGTCTAGAAGTAAATTGATTATTTTCCATGCTTGTTGAATGATAAGCATTCTGTAATTTTATTTATGCCTTCAATGAATTTATTAAGCAGAATTTCGTACGGTAACACTGATACATTAATATCTTCAGTAAAATGCTCAGGAATGGCGTCATGTCAATCTGTTGTATCAGGTTCGATTTTTTTTAAGTAGGCTACACATGCTTTTTGATTGATGGAATTTGCGTCAACTTTTGTGTCCGGAAGAATATATTTTTGTAGCTGAATCATGTGATATATGAAATATTTCTTGATGTAATATGAGAATTATGAGCTCATCTTACACATCGCAGAATTTTTCTTTCTAGTTTGAGAGATATTTTACCATCCATTATTTCAAAGACTTTCTATTATTGGTCCAGTTTGTACCAAAGGCGCAAACTTTGATTCTCGCCGTTCCGTAGTAAAATCAGGCCTAAGTGTAATAAATAGCCAATGGAATACAACCTTCATTGCCCAGTACCAGCTGGGTACCGGTTTCATTCACCCGACACGTGAGAATCTACGAAAATGGTAGTCCTGGCAACGGTGCCGATCGTGCCGAGACGTTTTCCGGTGAAAGTCACGTACCGGTTGGTGTTGAGCGGACACCAACCACCCGGATTCAATTAACCGAAATGGACGCCGGACGCTGAAGGCACGAGGCATTAGATACTCGTTCAGGTGCTGCGCTAAAATACAGTCTGCAAAATCTCAGCTCCTTATTGTATTAGTGGAGACTAGCTGAGATTGGACTAAACAATTATAATGCGGATCTTGCCCGTCTACTTTTTGTTATACTTTTTCAACCCCACCTCTCCCCAAAGGGCCAAGAGCGTGGTTATTTAAGTGGTTTCATCGTTTGATGAAAAACTATCTATTAGAACATATGTCAAAAGTATATACTTTACAAAATATTTCACAATGTTTTTTGCAAAACTACTCAGCTAATTCACCAAAACGCATTTTTGTACATAAAACGAATCATCGGGAAAATATATACTATACCCCATTCGTAGTCCATTTACGCCCAGACAAAACACAACATGCCCAAAAGCGAGATTGTACAGGTCCGTATTTTCCTCAATGGTCTTGAATAATCTAACAAAATAAATGATTATTATTTTTATAGACAGAGGTGCATTTACTTTTCACAATTCTTTATTCGCTGGAAGTACTTGAATCATCGTCCAAATGGTTAATTTTAATTATTACAGATTCAATTTGAATATCTATCATATTGTCCAGATCCCACATCTTTGTTTAGATTGTCTCTTGAACGCGACGGATGCAATCTTTCCAATGGTTTGCCGTCACTCTGTTGGCAGCTTCATAAAACTAATGTTTCAGTTCAGAAAATTTTAATGTTCTCTTGTTTCAAGCCACATACTTTTTTATATTTGCCCAAATCGTTTCAGTGGGATTTAATTCGCAGTGATAAGTGGGTAGCCTTAAAACGGTCTTATTTTGGTTTTTAGCCATTTCGTCAATAACATTAATATTATATTGATATTTGTGCTGCCAGATTAGATGGATAAGTTCTGTTTTGACCATATTTTCATTGAAACTAATGTCTTTTGATAGGAGCCATTGTTGAATTTCTGCCTTTCTTGTGGACATTGTGGGAACTTTTTCTAGTGTCTTATGCAGCATTGTCAAGTACAATGACGGCATTGGCGTCAACCTTTGGGAGAGTTTCTTCAAACCATCATTCATATGAACTCCCGTCCATTTGTTCATGGTAGTCGGTCGTTTTCTTTAACCCAAATGCCCATAGGGCAGTGGGCACAAAGCCATATTCACTACCAATGTGACAGATAACAAATCGTTTTTATTTTCCTGGAAATAATTACTTCATGTAGTATTCAAGAAAACTAATAATAATACAAGCAGAGGTATTGGTTCCAAATCTACCAGATATAGCTAAGTTTAGTGTAGCCAAGTTTTCAGCGCGGGCTCATAGATTCAGTCTATTTGACACCATTTTTACAACACAAATGACGAATTGGTTAGATACACGTACCTGACGGATTTTTTAGGCGAGTGGTTAGTCCATCTAAGAATTTAGGTTTTCTATGTCCCGCATTTATAAACATTTCATCCAAGTAATAAATCTTCCTGTCCTAGTCGGGGTATTTCTATATTGATTTTAAATAATTTGTTCTCCACAAAATAGAAATATTCTCAGTTTCATCTGCTTTATCCGTAGACGACATGCTAACGTATAAACACACGCTATGTATGCACCGAATATGCGGCGTCGGCGTGCCGGCGATACCCCGAGCCTGGGTTCTACCCTGTCGAATCCTGCACTTGTTCGAAGTTTTATAGCCGAATGACCAATAGCTATTGCAACGCTTTGCCGTGCTGCATCTTTGTTGTGACGGGGCGTAAATGGACTACGAATTGTTTATAGAAATGGTAAGCTACTGCATGAAATTCATATTTATAACATTTCATATACATCAAGAACTGGGTTGTGCAATCAAATCTAAAAAAATAAATAATAATGAAAAAGAATTTCGCCGTAACCGGCCTAAGCGCGGTTGAGAAAGGAGGAGGGTGAAGGAGCTGACATATCTTGAGGTTCCGACTGATGCCGATAGGTGGGTAACACAAGTACCAATAAATGTCCCGAAGTTTCGTAGTAGTAACACCTAACATATAGTCCTATCATATCTCAGAATGAGAAGGGTGAGGGCGAGTCTCCAGAGCTCAAAAACTGGAGCCTCTCAGCATCGAGTAGAAGGCCCCTGTTGGAATCCACCCGGTTCACCAGGCTTGGAGGTTGTGGCGATGGACCTGCTCCCCATGGAAAAAAATTATGTGCAAAAAGTCCAGAAAGAAAACGCCGGGCCGCCTTTGAAAGAAAGGGACCCACCTTACGTAAAATGTTAACGAGTGGCCGATCCATGTGTGGACGGAATATTACTCATAAACAAATACACTTTGGGAAATCTATTTATGGGATGTTATACACGGTATTTGAGGGCACATTTCTAAAATATTGGCGATTATACAGGGTGTCCCAATTTCGACCTACATATCAAAGTTGTGATTTTTCAAATAGAATGCATCAAATTTTATAGCATATTTGGATAAACCAATTCAAAAGATGAAAATTGATGTCACATACTATGGAGTTTTGGTAATTAGCTACTGAGATATAAGGTGTTTTGTCTAGAAAAACCCCCCACTTTGGCAACCCCTCATTCCGCCATTTTGAAATTTGGATTACTGAATTTTGTATCAAAGAAAACTTACACACCTCAGCTTTTATCTTACTTGTTGCTTTTTCGAATTTTAATTTTTGCTCATACAGGGTGGGCAAAAACGCAAATTGTATTTTTTCTCAAAAATTTCAAATGCATCACCCTGTATATTTGTGCAGGTTTGGATTCACTTTTTTATAATCTTTTTTTTTTGATACTAGATACATAAGGGTTTTTACGGCTATTTTTTCGGTTATTAGCACGTCTTTTATGGAACGGCTTAATTCCTTAAAATATCGCATCATCCTTGGTAACAAATTAATTGTTGATTAGTTACAAACTGTCAAAATTAGCTTTGTGAGCATTATAATAAAAACGTGTTTGAAAATGATTTTTTTTAAAGAAGAAATGGTGAATATGGTGTTCGTTTTGGGCGAAGCTCAAAGAAATATTTTCCTAGCATCTCGCATTTATAAGCAACGGTACCCTAACATGCGACGTCCAAAGCCGGAAACATTTTTCACACTACGACAACGTTTTGAATCAAGTGGAGCAGTGAAATATAGTAAGAAATGTATAAATAATCCAAGTGTCACCAATGAGGCGAATCAGTTGGAGGTTCGAAAGTTGCAGGAAAATCCCCGTTTAAGTGCACGGCAAATTGGAGCAGAAACTGATATATGCAGAACTTCTGTCAAGTCTGTACTCTTAGGGCCGGTTGTTCAACTCCAGTTTAAACCGCTGTTCAGATTGAACTAAGTTCAAAGTTGAAAGTCAGTTGTACAAATAAAGCTCAAGGCTTGAACCCAGTTCAAGTAGGCATAGAACCTGACCGGTCGATGTCCCTCGGTTAAACTCAGTTCAATGTGAGTAACATAAATGTCGTAGCAAAGTTTAGCGAAGGAGTTGTGTGTTAAGTTTAAAAATGGACATTCCCGAAGAGATAACTGATGATGAGGACTTCTTAGAATTAATAACCATCGTACATATACCCAGGTTACCCAAAACTTACAAACAGAGACCTGATAATTTTCGGATTTGGAACGACACTCAATTCTTGCAACGTTTTCGGATATCAAAAAGTACTGTTAGATCCATAATAGATAAAGTTGCAGATGATATCAGAAATATAACAATACAGTAAGTTCATTTATAATTACTAGGTATCAGAGCTATTCCTGACGGGTGCATATTGTGCTCCAAATTGAAGAATAAATATCATTACCTATTTCAAATTTTATATATTTTATATATATATTTTTAAACATAATTTTTTTATAAATTTATACAAACACCAACTTATGGGAATGCTGTGTTGCATCTAAATTGAAAAATCGTTCTTTCATTGTCGGTGAATTTGCAAAAACCATCTGAGCTGCTCAAAGGCTACTCACTCTACATGAATCGCCCTGGGTTGATATAATGCGGGTGGGATTTGGACAAATGTGTATAAAAGCTATTTTTTTATAGAAATCATGCCCTCACGCCAGATGATATGGTCTTTGTTACGCTACGTTACCTTGCAACTGGGTCCTTTTTGCAAGTAATAGGGGATGTACAAGGTATGGACAAAAGAACTGCAAGCAGGGTTGTGTCGAAAGTTATAAAATCATTAGCAGTCCATTTTAAAGAATTAATAAAAATGCCTGAAAATGGCGAAGAGAGAACTGCGATACGTCAAGAATTTTTCAATATTGCTAGATTTCCTAGGTGCATAGGAGCTTTAGACTGCACCCACATTAAAATAAAATCTCCAGGTGGTGCAGACCCAGAGAATTATAGGAACAGGAAAGGTTTCTTTTCCTATAATGTACAGGTGATTTGTGATGCCACTTTGAAAATACAAAATATAGTTTGCCGTTGGCCAGGTGCATCACATGATGCAAATATGTTTGCAAATAGTAGAGTTCGAGCCTTATTTGAAACCGGACATTTTGGCGATAGTTTGTTGGTTGCAGATAGTGGCTATGGTATTAAGCCATATTTAATTACACCACTAAGCCGACCTGAAACTTAGAGTCAACACTTATTTAATGAATCTCAAATTCGCACAAGGAATCCTGTCGAGAGATGCTTCGGGGTATGGAAAAGTCGTTTCCCCATCTTAGCATTAGGAATTCGTGTAGCGAAAGAAAAAATTGAGCCAGTAGTTGTTGCAACAGCAGCCTTGCATAACCTAGCAATTATCATGAAAGACCCACAACCTGCAATAAATAATGAAATTGAAGCAGCATTTGAATTCATTAAGAACTTTGATATTGTACCAGTCCCAGTTGGAGGTCAAGATGCATCTAATAATAGGACACGATTATTGTTAATTAATTATTTCCAGGATTTATTGTGAATGATTCAAAAATTCAGTTTTTAGCATTTTTCTAATGTTATCTTCGTTTCATACTAAGTGAAAGTGAAAGATATAAATGATGCAATAAAGAATATTGGAGATTTTATGTATTTATTCAAAATAGGTAAATAAGATGGCAAGATTAAGAAAATCAAATTTTATATTTATTTAACAGATACTGTTTTTCCATATTTAACATTTCCATTTTAATGTTATGTACCTCATCTTCCCTCTTTTTTCTCTCTTCATACTCTAGTTGCATTATTTCCAGTTTATTTTTGTTTTCTTTCATCAGTAGCTGTTTTTTCATTTCAGATTAATCCAAAAGGCATTTTTCTTTAGAATCTTCCAATGATTTTTTGGATTCGACCCATTTTTTCATTTTTGTGCAAATAGCACCCCTTTTTTTGAGCAGTCGGTCTTCACTAAAATTAAAATGTTTAAGGAACATCTTATTGTGATCCACATTTACTAGCAACATATAGTATTTTATTACTAATTTCATCAACAAGAACAAAAAAATTTACAGCACAACATGCAAAAACTTTCGATTTTAGTACTAGAAGTAACAATTCCTTTTTGAAATTCGTAATGAATATGAAATATTTCTGGAGATTATAATGTAGATTACCTTCTGCAGTTCTCAGAGCACTTGATTTTGGTGTGCGCAAAAGGGATGTACTTAATTTGCTCCAGTCCCTATTTGATGTCTACTGGATTCTGGACCTTCTAAACGATGCGCTATTTGATTTTCTTTATCTGTAAAATCATGAATAAATGAGGATTCGCCACAATAAGGCACATATATTGTGTGTATTTACTAGCAACGGGTAGTATTTTATTACTAATTCAATCAACAAGAACAGAAAAAATCTACAGCATAATATGAAAAACTTTCCATTTAAGTTCTAAAATAGGTTTTTTTATTTTCATAATTCAAGATAAATGCCATTATAAAAAGCATATAGTAATGACGATATAATAGTTCTGTAGATTTTAATGTAGATTACCTTCTGGAGTTCTCAGAGCACTTGATTTTAGTGTGCACAAAGGGGATGTATTTAACTTGCTCCCCTCCTCCGCCTGATGACTACTGGCCTCTGGACCTTCTAAATGAGACACTTCTTGATTTTCTTTATCTGGAAAATCATAAATAAATGATAACATCAAAACTATTTATTTTATTAGTACCACTGTTTTGAACTTCCTGTGTCTCCTCTGAAGTGATTTCATCTGAAACACCTTAAATTAATAAAAGTACATTATTTAACATACATTCGAAACTTATATTCCTCAATAATTAAGTCCCTGCATGTAGCATTCTCAGGTATGTCACAGACAACTAAAAATAAAATTAACTTAAAAATATATTCACTCAACACAATCCGGCTTCCTTACTCATGTCATCATCATACGCTGAAGGGTGTCCTTCTATTCGGACACCTAAAATGTCTTTGACTTGTTCATCAATATCGGTGAAATGAACTGTTTTTGAGGCACCTCCTCCTGTAGCAAACAGGGAACACTTCTCCTGTGAGAACTTCTTCTTTGACCTTTTTTTGATATTGTCATATTCTTCAATGTTTTACTATCCCTGTAGGTCACCGCTCCACTGTTAAACTCTTTTGCAATCATATTCCATGTCTTTGCTGTTGAAGAGTTTGTTACTGCATCGGTTTTACGACATTCAATAACATCTTTATATTTATTCACCAGTCTAATTAAAAGGGATTCTTCTTCCCTGCTAAAGTTACTTGTTCTCTTAGGTGCACTCATTTTTCAAATAAATCCACTACTACGAAGAGAAAGAATCAGCAGCAATTATATTTTTAATAAATATAACATAGGAAAGATAATGAAGCAATTATATACCTACCCGCTCTCCTGCGGATGTTGCGATATATTTATAGTCGAGAATAACAAGCTAACTTCAAAAAATCGCCAAAAAATGATTCCAGATTGAACCTATCGCTTCGGCCTATAAGTAAAAGCAAGTGAAAGTAGGGTTATGACTTCGGTCAAAATCACGTCAAAATGACATTATTGACAAGTCATATCATTCCGTGCCTAATAACATAGTGCTTATGGTATTACCAACTGCTGCATATTTGAGGTTCAGTGGAACCGAGCTTGACTGACAGATGAACAACGCACATGCATTTGAACTAAGTTCATATTTTAACTGGAGTTCAGGTGATCTACAGTTTAACCGAAAGTTGAACAACCGGCCCTTAGTGGCAATATGGAACTAGCCCACTGTTTGTCTTTTGTTTCCATGGATGATGTGGTTTTTTCCTTAATTTTGGTGTGTTGTTCTATTAAAAGCTTGATAACTCAAAATATCTGAATCAAACCTTATACCAAAAACAAGCTCATAAAAAATGAAATCCCAAAATGTACAAATATACAGGGTGATGCATTTGAAATTTTTGAGAAAAAGGACAATTTGCGTTTTTGACCACCCTGCATGAGCAAAAATGAACATGCGAGAAAGTAACAAATAAGATAAAAGCTGAGGTGTGTAAGTTTTTTTCGATATAAAATTCAGCACTTCAAATTTCAAAATGGCGGATTGACGGGTTGCCGAAGTGGGCGGTTTTTCTGGACAAAACACCTTACATCTCAGTAGCTAATTACCAAACACATAGTATGTTATATCAATTTTCTTCTTTTGAATTGGTTTATCCAAATATGCAATAAAATTTGAGGCATTCCATTTAAAAAATCACAACTTTGATATGTAGGTCAAATGTATAATTGCCAGTATTTTAGAAATGTGCCCTCAAATGTCATGTACAACATGCCATAAATAGATTTTCCCAAAATGTATTTGTTTATGAGTAATATTCCGTCCACACATGGATGGGCCAGCCTGTATATTCCCGGCTGCTAACCGGCTTTTTTCCGGTGCCGGTCGGTGCTTGGCCAGTGTGCAAGCTTCAATGCCATCCAATGGTTTACTATTAAAATGTGGTCGCCCGATATTTTACCGGCCGTCCAAAATCGGTGTGTGTGCAAGTTACCTGACGATGACCGGCTGCTAGCCGGCTTTTTTCCGGTGCCGGTCGGTGGTCGGCCAGTATGCAAGCTTCAATGTCCTCCAATGGTTAACTATTAAAATGTGGTCGGCCGATATTTTACCGGCCGTCCAAAATCGGTGTGTGTGCAAGTAGCCTAACCATGCCAACAAGCGTTAAGTTATGATCTCGTAGCAACACATCAACTAGTTCATAACTGGTAAACCAGTTATCTGTAGTGATGCCTCTTCCTGTTTTAGATATTGGTTGGGCTGTTGCCCTACGTACACTTCTAAATGTAAAGTGGAAAACATATTGGCGTCTACCAGTGCAAAAATCTTGATACCGTATTTGTTTGGCTTTGACGGTATATACTGCCTGAAACCACAGCGACCCCTAAATGCCTCAAGTTTCTCATCTATTGTCGCGTATTCGGAAATTGTCTAATGTTTTTGACAATTTCTTACAAAAGAATCAAAAACTTCTCGAATAGGTGCCAGTTTGTCGTATTTTCTACGTTCCTCCCTTGTTTCTTTGTCGTCAGTGCGGATAACACGCATCAGGAAACGGAATCTCTGCAACGACATGGTCAACCAAAACATATCAATCTCAGTACCATCTCGACTCCATAGATCTTCAGTATTGAGTCGATTGCCTTTGTGAAGACCTGCTAAATAAAGGGTGTTTTTCTTATAGGTATAGAACTTTAAATTGCAGTATAACAACGATGGGTTATTCGATTGACATGAATTTTTTTTATTCGATAGATAATTTTGTGGCATTACATTTTAAATATGATTTCTGGCATATGACAGCCACGGATGGCTCGGATGTAGTCCAATCTGGACGTCCAATTTTCGATGACTTTTTCCAACATTTCTGGCCGTATATCGGCAGTAACATGGCGAATGTTGTCTTCCAGCTGGTCAAGCGTTTGTGGCTTATCCGTATAGACCAATGACTTTACATAGCCCCACAGAAAATAGTCTAGCGGTATTGAATCACAAGATCTTGGAGGCCAATTCACAGGTCCAAAACATGAAATTAGGCGGTCACCAAACGTGGCTTTCAATAAATCGATTGTAGCACGAGCTGTGTGACATGTTGCGCGTCTTGTTGGAACCACAGCTCCTGGACATCATGATTGTTCAATTCAGGAATGAAAAGGTTAGTAATCATGGCTCTATACCGATCACCATTGACTGTAACGTTTTGGCCATAATCGTTTTTGAAGAAGCCTATAAAGCGCACCAAACCGTCAGTTTTTCTGGATGTAACGGTGTTTGGACATAGACTTGAGGATTAGCTTTACTCCAAATGCGGCAGTTTTGTTTGTTGACGTAGCCATTCAACCAGAAGTGCGCTTCATCGCTAAACAAAATTCGCTTATCAAAATCGGGAACAGCGGCAATCTCGTTTTGGGCCCATTCAACGAATCTACGCCTTGCTTGATGATCGTTTGGCTTCAATTCTCACGAGTTGGATTTTGTAAGCACGCAAACCAAGATCCTTCCTCAAAATCTTGCATAAAGTGGATGAACACAGATCCAATTCCTGCGCTCGATGGCGGATGGACTCATTCGGGTCTTCCTCAATGCTGCGCTGTACAGCAACCTAGTCTCCTAGTCAAGGTGCCAGTTAGCGGGTGCCAACTGGGACCTTGGTCTAGGGTACCTGGTTCTGCGGTTGCGAGGCCTCTCGTTCGGATCGTAGTCCATGAGGAATCGTAGCTGCTCGTTCGGGTGGTCCTGAGCTTTCGCGAAGGTCTTCTCCGCTTTTTTCCTCATGTACTCGTGGATGGTGTCCCAATGCAGGTCTCTACGCAAGGTTGAGCTTCTTACGTAGGATGGTGCACTGCTGGCGATCCGGAGTAGCTTCATCTCTAGAGCAGCAAGTCGCTTGCGGTAGCTGGGGGCAGCGTACCCCCAGACCGCGGAGGCGTAAGCGAGCTGAGGTCTGGCGATGGCCTTGATCAGCCGTAGCTTGGTCGCTAGCGGCATCCGGCTGTGTCTACCCAGTAATGGGTAGAGTTGAGCCATGGCTGCTCTGGTCTTTGCGATGACAGCTTCTATGTGGGCTTTCCAGGTGAGGGACCTGTCAAATACGATCCCCAGATATTTGACTTTGTCGCTCCACTGGATATCTTCGTCGAAGATGGATGCTTCGAGAGGTCTTGCAATCCTTCTTCGTTGAATGAAGATTGCCTGCGTCTTCTGGACGTTGATGCGGATTTTCCATTTCACGCACCAGTCCTGGATGTGGTCCAGTTCATCCTGGAGTCTCCTACGGATGATCTCGGGTCGTCTATGCTTGGCGGCTATAGCAGTGTCGTCTGCATATAGGGCCAGCATTGTGTCAGCTGTCTTCGGCACATCGTGAGTATAGATGTTGTAGAGCAGGGGGGCTAAGGCTGACCCCTGGGGCACGCCTGCTTCCAGCTGTCGTCTTGTTGAATGGCATGTACCAATCTTCACCGTGAACCATCTTTGTGTTAGATAGCTCTGGATCAGTTGGCACATGTTCGCATCGATTCCGGCGGCTTCCATTTTGGCGATGAGTCCATCGTGCCAAACTCGATCGAAGGCTCGTTCCACGTCCAGCAGGACGAGACCGGTTGCCTCCTGAAGATTGAAGCCGCTGGTGATGTTTTCTGTCAGTCGTAGCGCTTGGAGTTCCGTGCTGTGGGAGGATCTGAAGCCGAATTGCTCTGGGGGGAGAAGTTGCAGTTCTTCTGCCTGCTTCTCTAGTCGAACGGCGATAGCCTTTTCGACTACTTTGCCCATCGAGGAAACCAGGCTGATGGGCCGGTAGTTCTGGGGCAACTTCCGGTCCTTGCCTGGCTTGGTGAGCGTAATAACCTGGGCTTCCCGCCACCGCCGCGGGAAGTGGTTAAGTCTCAGAGTGGCATTGGCGATGTTGGTGAGCGCAGCAATGCCTTTGGTGGGAAGGTTTTTCAGCATCCTGTTGTTGATGCCGTCCCTTCCCGGCGCCTTTCTGACCTTCAACCTGCGGATGATCAGACGGATTTCCTCTGGACTGGAGGGGTGATCCTTCTCCTGGCCAGGTGGTCGACTCCTCATGATTTCGGCTGCGACTTCCACGGCCTCCTCGTGGTTGTCGTCCTCGTCTTCATGGTAATTGAGTCTGCATTCGGATTCTAGCGAATCGGCGAATGCTTCGGCTTTTTCTTCACTGGAGTAGGCCAAGCCGCGTTGGCCGTGAAGAGTGGGGATCGTGGTGCGCTGACGACGAAATTTTCGCTGCATAGTCCAGGCCGTACCATCCTGGGTCTCTAGTTCTGCACAGGCTGCATTCCATCTGCTGTTTTGGAGTTCCGCGAGTGCGTTCTTTAGAGCTAGCGATGCTCTGTTTCGCGCAACTCTCGACTCCTCTGTCAACAGTTGGAGATGTTCTCGCTTGAGTCTTCTGTTCTCGCTGATCAGGTGCCTAATATGGTGCGGTGCTGGACTATTTAGGTGTCTAGGAACTGCCGTAGTCTCGGAGCGGGTGCTGTCCTCGTGCGCTCGCAGGACAGCATTCTCCAGCTCCTCTACTGCGTTGTCCAGTTCCTCCGCTGATCGGATGGTTGGAATGTGAGTGATGTTCCTTTGGACGTTGGATTTGTACAGGTCCCAGTTCGTCCGTTTGGTGCTCAAGCTATCTCGAGTTCTGGACCCTGTGCCAAGTGTTAGTAGAATCGGATTGTGGTCCGACGATCCTTCCACCAGGGTCTCTATCTCGAACTCCTCTCTGATGTTGCGGAGGATGGCTATGTCCAGTACCGCCGGTCGCCCAAGGCCGAATGGAATGTAGGTTGGTTGCTCCGGACCGACGATGACCCCCGCCAGGGCATCGACGTGTTCCTGGAGCTGCCTTGCATTCCTGTCTTCGACGTTGTTGTTCCATGCCGGAGACTTGCAGTTTAGATCTCCGATGACTATGCGTGCTCCTGGGCCTCTCAGGAGGTCAGCGATGTCATCTTCGTCTAGGGCCTCCCCTGGTGGCACATATTGGGAAGAATCGTGAAATAAATCAATATCGCATTAATATTATGGTGAATAATGAAGACATATCCTTCGTA